TCATCCGCTGCCTAGCAACAACCAAATTCTGTTTTTTGTTTAATTTTGATACTTGTAGTGGCTTTAGAACATGAATTTAGATAGTTGTGATGCAAAAACACATAACATTATTCTTTCGGAATGGATTAGATATGCTTACACGGCTCGTTGCGAGGATCAATCGGTTTCCTTGGCAATCGTTGCTAAGAAACATGGTGTATCTATGGGCTCCACCTTTGAAAATATTCAGTATAGGCTCAAGTATAATTGTGCCAAGTTTCATGCTTTTATCATTTACTGAGCAATTCAAGCTGTATTTTGCACCAATCACCTAGACTAAGAAGATATCATTAGAAAATGAACAATATGTATAGTATCAAGCAATGAGACTTGCAGTTTTCAACAAGAATTCAAAAATATCACTTTTTACCAAAAATTACAAAAATATTCACCAAGATTAGAGAATTAAAGATATCATTACAAAATGAACAAATCTGAGAGAGGTCCACATGTACATGTAGTACCTATATATGTAATATCAAAGCAATTGGACTTGCGGTTTTTAACAAGAAGTTGAAAATATCACTTTTTACCAAAAATCACAAAAATATTCACCAAAATTAGAGAATTAAAGATATCATTACAAAATGAACAAATCTGAGAGAGGTCAACATGTAGTACCTATATATGTAATATCAAAGCAATTGGACTTGCGGTTTTTCACCAGAAGTCGAAAATATCACTTTTTTACAAAAATGACAAAAATATTCACCAAAATTAGAGAATTAAAGATATCATTACAAAATGAACAAATCTGAGAGAGGTCAACATGTAGTACCTATATATGTAATATCAAAGCAATTGGACTTGCGGTTTTTAACCAGAAGTCGAAAATATCACTTTTTTTACCAAAAATGACAACAAGCAGCCTCTCGGCTGAGATAGCTCCGCTGTTAGCAATGCACATTTCAATTAAAGAACAAAAGATATCATTAGAAAATTAACAATGTGTATAGTATCAATGCAATGGGACTTGCTGGTTTCAACAAGAATTCAAAAATATCATTTTTCACCATAAATGATTGTGGTTTTTAACAAGAAGAAAATATCACTTTTTACCAAAAATGACAAAAATATTCATCAAAATTAGAGAATTGAAGATATCATCATGAAATGAACAAATTTGAGAGTGGTCCACATGTAGTACCTATGTATGTAATATCAAAGCAATTGGACTTGTGGTTTTTAATAAGAAGTCGAAAATATCACTTTTTACCAAAAATGACAAAAATATTCACCAAAATTAGAGAATTAAATATATCATTACAAAATGAACAAATCTGAGAGAGGTCCACATGTAGTACCTATATATGTAATATCAAAGCAATTGGACTTGCGGGTTTTAACAAGAAGTTGAAAATATCACTTTTTACCAAAAATGACAAAAATATTTACCAAAATTAGAAAAATTAAAGATATCATCATGAAATGAACAAATTTGAGAGTGGTCCACATGTAATACCTATATATGTAATATCAAAGCAATTGGACTTGTGGTTTTTAATAAGAAGCCGAAAATATCACTTTTTACCAAAAATGACAAAAATATTCACCAAAATTAGAGAATTAAAGATATCATTACAAAATGAACAAATCTGAGAGAAGTCCACATGTAGTACCTATATATGTAATATCAAAGTAATTGGACTTGTCGTTTTTAACAAGAAGTCAAAAATATCACTTTTTACCAAAAATGACAAAAATACTCACTAAAATTAGAGAATTGAAGATATGATCATGAAATGAACAAATCTGAAAAAGGTCTACCCAAGGTACATATACACCAAGTATCAAAGCATTCAGGCTTGTAGTTTTCAAGAAGAAGTCGAAAAAGTAAAACATGGACACGGACGCCGGACAATCATTCATATGATAAGCTCCGCTCAACAAAGTCGACAGCGGAGCTAAAAATATTCACCAAAATTAGAAAATTAAAGATATCATTACAAAATGAACAAATCTGAGAGAGGTCAACATGTAGTACCTATATATGTAATATCAAAGCAATTGGACTTGCGGTTTTTAACCAGAAGTCGAAAATATCACTTTTTTCACCAAAAATATTCACCAAAATTAGAGAATTAAAGATATCATTACAAAATGAACAAATCTGAGAGAGGTCAACATGTAGTACCTATATATGTAATATCAAAGCAATTGGACTTGTGGTTTTTAACCAGAAGTCGAAAATATCACTTTTTTTACCAAAAATGACAAAAATATTCACCAAAATTAGAGAATTAAAGATATCATTACAAAATGAACAAACCTAAGAGAGGTCTACCCAAGATACATATACACCAAGTTTTCAAGAAGAAGTCGAAAAAGTAAAACATTGACACGAAGGACAATCACTCATATGATAAGCTCCGCTCGACAAAGTCGACAGCGGAGCTAAATATTTTCTTGACTTTCGTTAGACACCTGACTCCGGGACCTGACTATCTTTTTCAATGATTTAAATGCGCCCATGTTTATATTTGCGTAATAATTACGAATACAACGCATTATCAAGTCAGTAATATTGAAATATTCACAGACCCAATAGCCCGGGTTAGTGTCCCAACGATTATCCAGGTCTGTCTATTGTCCTACAGCATCCATGTACATTCATTGATATGTGATGTTCAGTACCTGAGATATCAGTGTGAAAGTTGGTTAATTATGCAAATTAGGTGATTAATATGCACAAATATTTACCGGAAACTAATTGGGTCTGCATAATTCTAGATTCATTGAAATGTGATGATTAGTACCTTAGATATCAGTAGAAAAGCTGAAAATTAATTATGCAAATTAGTTAATTAATATGCACAATTATTTGCCCTAAAACTAATCAGGTCTCTGCATAGTCCTAAAGG